ACAAGTTTAAGAGCGCTTAATCCTCCCGTAACCTGGGTCAGTGGTTTAAACCATAACGTTAGAAAGGGTTTATGGAAAAGAGAATAATGGGCAAAAAATGCAGAATAAAGGGCCAAAAATATAAATAATTGAGAAAAATAGGCCCAAAAAATTAAGAAAGAGAATAATAGGGTGCAAAAATAAAAACAATAGAGAATAATGGTCTAAGAAATAAAGAACAAAGAAATGATGGATCCCCTACCCCCCCCACCCCCCCCCCCCCCCCACCCCCCCACCCCCCACCCCCACCCAAAAAACAAAACCAACAACAAAAACAAAACAAAACAAAAACAAAACAAAACAAAACAAAACAAAAACAACAACACGACCTTCACTCATCACTAGAACAACTAACAAAAACACAAATGGTACGGCCCAAAACAACTCGCAACGGTTAATGAAAGCTAGTTTTAAGCCCAATTTCGGTTAATGAATAGATCATGTTTTTCCGGTCTAAAGTATCAATTAGATCACCCTTCTTTATTATTATTATTATTTACAGTGTTTATATAGCGCCTATCTAAGTAAACATTTACTCTAAGCGCTTTACAATGCATAAAAAAACAACGATACAAGTACATTATATATATATATATAAACAAAATTAAAAAAGAAAATCTATGTGTCAATGTTGCAATAGAATCAAAATAGAAACCGTAAAAAATACAACTCAATATAGGAAAATTAAAAATTATTCATCAAAAATAATTATAAAATATAAATTTTGAAAAAAAAATATTTAAAGAAAATCAACAGAAGAGCTTCAATTTAGAAATTGGACTAATAGCTTTATGTCTAAAAATAAAAAGAGTAAAGGAAATAAAAATGCAATAAAATATAAGTAAGTATGAGAAATGTCTAAAAATAAAAAGAGTAAAGGAAATAAAAATGAAATAAAAAGTAAGTATGATACATTAAAATATATACTGAGATCGAATAAAAGACTAATACCGTCCGATTATTAATTATGTGGAAAAGCCTGTCTGAATAAATAAGTTTTAATGTTTTTCTTTGAAAGCATTCACAGATTCCGTGTTTAGCAGTTCTTTCGGCAAGTCATTCCATAAAACGGCGGCCGCTCTATCAAACCGTCTCTCTCCGTATGTTTTTGTTCTAACTGTTGGTTTGACTAGAAGCATGTTATTTTCTGACCGAAGAGTTATTGTTGGCTTGTAAATGTTAACTAGTTCTTGAAGGTACCCGGGTGCTTCCTGTTTCAGAGCTTTAAACACATGTAGTATATAAGACAATGATTTTATGAAGAAAAAGTTTGTAAAGAAAAACGAAGACAACTGGAAACTCACAATTAGCAAACAACACGGAAATAAAAGAAAAACGAAAACAACCGAAAACGCCTTATTCTGACACCGTAGAAAACTCACGATGAGCAAACAACACGGAAATAATTGTAAAACGAAAACAACCGAAAACTCACAATGAATAATTGAAAAACGAAGACAACCGAAAACTCACGATGAGAAAACAACACGAGTAATTGAAAAACGAAGACAACCGAAAACTCACGATGAGCAAACAACACAGGAATAATTATGCTACGGTATGACCGAAAGATGAATATTAACAAGATATCTGTATATATCTGAACAGGAGAATGGCCCAGAGGGTTTTAAGATGTAACTATGTAGACATCTAAATTTCCTAAACTTCAAGAAAGAAATGTTAATCTATCCCCCCCCCCTTTTAGAAGTAAATCATCCAAATTTCCTTATCTTCAAGAAAGAATTGTTAATCTATTTTTTTTCTTTTTGTGAAGTAAATACGTGGAAACCCGATATAACCAATATGACAAATGCCTAAGTTTTGGAAATCCAAAACATAAATCTTACAGTCCTAAAAAAAAATTGTCTCATGTCAATGTTGCGCATGTAACCTTAGGGGATGACCATTTGATATTCTGGGGGGGGGGGGGGGGGGCAGGAGGATTTTGAAAATAAATAACTCAGCCTTGATAATAACAAAAATGAATGGTTTGTTCTGTGGTAGTTTGAAAATAAATAACCTGACCTACAATGTATTGAAAATAAATAACTCGGCAGGTCTTTTAAGCCATTTTATAAATGCTATTCAAAAGTATGAAATGGCACCAGACTCCTACAAAATTCGTCTTTTTTCATATTTTTTTCGGGAAAAACTTTCCAAATCTTTTATAATGCAATGTATAAATATTAATGTACTTGAAAAGTCTGAGAATGGGTTTCATTTAACTAGAGGTATATTAACTCAGGAACATTTACCTCACTTTCATAAGTCATAGGGCTGTAACTAAATTGAGGCAAATGCCTCAGGTAGGAAATTTCAAAAACAAAAGCTTGTCATCATATCAAATTGTTTTTACTTCGAATGCCTTGCAAGAAGCAAGTTCTGTTCACCCTCTGGCATACAGCCCCTGTTTTTCGTGATCCATGTTTCACATTTAATTTTAGTTTTCAGTGTTATTTGTCTATAATGTTTGCCGTTTCGTGTTTTATCTGTTCCAGGGTTTGTCTTTTGTTCATTGATTGCCCTTCTTTATTCTCTTAGTGTTGCATTCCATTTGTAATTTAGTAATTTTTTTAAACTTGAGTTTGATTTTATTTAAGGACTTTTTATCTAATTTTACAAACTACATGAATTTCAAATTGTATCTCAGTTAGGAACTACATCAAGTTGTAATTGAAATGTGTTATAAAAACTTACCTGACATAGTTATATCAATGATAATCAACCCCTCTTAACTTAATTTGAGAACAAAAACACATAATTGACAGGTATATAAAAAAGTTTTTCTGCAAGCCAAAACACTAAAAAAAGAAAAAAAAGCAGCCACATACTTAAGTTTCTGAATTACACTTGTTGCTTTATCCTACATATTTGTCTTTTGATGTTGTCCCTAAAAACTAAAAGTTTTACACTGAATCTATATATTTTGCTTTGAGACCAACATATTGTCTTCTTGTGGCCTTCAGCGGCTCCAAAAACCTTCGCCAAATTTTTTGGCCTCGCTCCGCTCGGCAAATATGTTTGACATTACTTTAAAAAGAGGCTTAGTTACAGCCCCATTTTAATACCTTGTACGTATGCAATACCTGCAGTTTGGAATTCAGAAGATTCACTTCCACAGGATGATGATTAATTCTGATTAAATGGTACATAATGATTTGACTATACACTTATTATCTATTTAGGAATAAAAAAAAAATTTTAAATTGTGTGTTTTCAAATATTATAAATATAATTGTGAAAATAAATAATCAGTCCCTTGTTTTAATGAAAATGAAAAACCATGCTTCATCAGTGCAGAAAATAGATAATCTCTTCTTCTAGTTCACCAAAATAAATAACTGATCCAAAACAAATCCTCCTGGCCCCCATCAGAATATCAAATGGTCGTCCCCTTAGTGATCCTTAGTGTAAAAGAGGAAATAGCCAATTTCCCCTAAATTTGACCCACTCACATGGTAAATATCAGAAAGATATAAAAACTAACTGAAAAACTGTTATCAAAAAGTTATTTTTATTAATTTACTTGTTTAATTATTAAAATTGTTTCTTTAAGTTCAAAATATATACGGAGCGCTACATTTTGCTGTTGGAAACAATTGTTATGAAATATCGCATTTTATATGTAATTGTAAAATCTTGCACTGTAGGACAACTTTAACAAGAATCATGAGGGTCGCTCAAATCAGCTTAAAGGTCAAATCATTTATGAAGTTAAACAAAAATTTTTAAAAATCCTATCAATGCCTGGGGCTGATCGATCTTAGTGTTTCAAATAATTATAACATTTTATGAACATTAAATTTACAGAAAAATACCGTTCTAATGATATTTCTTCGAGGGTGGACTATTTTGGCTGGTGATACCCGCGACAAAATTAAATCTATCAAAATTTCAGTTTTTCATGAAATAATCACATTCATATTTCTAAATTACTTCAAAGTTCACAAGTGAAATTATTATACTAAGGATTTGACACACGTTTTCAAAAGTGGCCTTGTTGTGAAATGAATCTAGTGGAACAATTTCTTTATAAAATGTACACCAAGAATGTGTCATTTAAGGACATTTCGGCTTGAATTAAAATTTCAAAAACCTTTTTAAATGACACCTTTTCAATAAATAGTGTAGAATACATCAATATTATCGAAAAATAAAGATATCATAAAAAAAAAATCAGAATATTTGGCGGGAAAAAAATCAGAATATTTGGCGGGAAAAAAATCCTCACGATTTTTAATGGGAGAGAAATGAAAATAAATCTGTGTTTAAATAATTTTTAGAAATGGTTGTTTCAAAATATTTACAAGTATAATGCATTTGAGACGCAAGTTTTAAATGCAAAACTATTTGGGGATTTTTTTTTATGCAGAGCGTAGGTATAACGCCGTTTAAACGTGACAACCGAATTTCTAAAAGTACCGAAGTGCTGTATACTCGTCTGGGGTTACAATCAATAGGTGATTGTTTAAATAAACAAAAGTGCTTGTAAACGTGTTAAAATAAAAAGAACAAGTATGATCTATATATGGTATTTTTAAAGCCCTTACATACATTTAAAAAAAAGTTTGTACATATATCTAGCGATTACATAATATGCAATGGCCTATACAGACAGCCATAGAGTATAATCATTTACAGATACATAAGTTTACTGAAGTACAACATACTTTTCCTGTACGCTCACACAAGCATAAACTAATCAATGCTATACAACATAGACAATTGGTCTTAATTAAGACTTAATTGATTTAAAAATACAAAAAAGGGTTTATTGTTCGAACACCAATGCATTTTCTTGATTAATTAACACCACAACTTCAAAACTTTTTTCCGGCAGTCAATCGATTGTTTAATGATTAATTGCAAAGTGCAAATGATATGCATTTTTCTATTAGTACATGCTTTAGGGAATGGTATAAATACTGCCCCATTTTCCGATGAGTATTACCACAGAAGACCCACAGTACCTTCGAGATGAAGACTGCAATTGTAGTTTTGTATATCCTAGCATTCACAGGTAGGTTCTAGATTTATTCGAATATTGAGTTTTGATTAAGCATATAGAGGGAAAATATTACAAGTCTATTTGCCAATTTCTAATTCGATTCTGTTATTAGACTCTTTAAACACAAGTAGTTTCCCATTTGTCAATTGTAGGCTGGTTCTGAACCGGACGAAAAGGAAATCTACTCATGCAAAGTAGTTTTTGATGAAAAATAACTATTTTGATATCAAAATTTTTGAGCTTAGAAGTGATAAAATCTAACTAAAAGATTTAAAAAAAAAAGGGATTTAGAACTTCTCTTTATTAGAAATAAAAAAAAAAACAATGTAAAAAAATAAACCCCTTACATGAACTCACCATAGAGCATATGTTTACGGTTTATAACACGTTAATGCTAACACAATTCGCTTTTCATACGCCTAATTATTCGGTAAGTCGGATGTTGGTTATTGGTGAGGCTCGTTTTGTCAGTTGCCAATATTTTTAGTAATTCCTGTTTTTGCACATTTTGAAAAATTACGCATTTTCTGTAATAACTTAGATTTTAGTAATAACACGACAAAGGTACGATTATTGTTATGCTATATAATCCTCTATCTAATATATATATAGTCCACTTATTCCAATCCGGATAAATTATGATATTACACAACATTTTTCACAAGGTTACAAACCAGTTGAAGTTATCTGGGGCCCTGTTTAAACGATGTATTGTGCACAAAACTTTTTAGAGACCCTCGTCATCGTAAACACTTCAAACAAAGCATTTTTATGACTTTAATTTTGTCAAAAAAATTGGATCATAAACTTCAAAATGTTCACTTTCTGAATTTTTTCCTCGCTGATCTCATTACCGACAACCTTTGTTTTTTCTGGTCACTTAACCCAAACAGGAAGTTGTGTAAGTAACTATTTTTTCTGGATTGGACCTAGGATGTTCGCTCCTCTCGTTTTTGAATTTTTGTCAGATATTCGGAAACCTCTGGTTTTATTCATGTAGTGCCATTAAAATTTTGCCCACTAACCCTCACTTTTCTTTCCATAATTTAATTACATATAGTTTATTCTCTCAATTGTAGGCCAGCTTGTATACTAAAGTTTTAATAAGACGCACACCACCTGTTCTGGGTCCTCAATCCTATCCACGTTAAAATTTTCACTTCAAAACATTTTATGGAAGCGGGATCAATATACCTGTATTCATACATCAGACCGTACTTCACTGGTTACCGGAATTTTGGATACACCAAACCAGGCACTTTATATCTGAGAAACAGGCTATATATACCATCAATTTTAGAATTCATTCAGACATTTTTGTATTATTCAAAATTATCAGTAAATTATGTGTTCTACAAGGACGATCAGTCTTTCACCTTTCATTTGATACCTTAATTACTAAAATATATGCTACAAAGTTTAAGATTTACCCTTAAGCTTAGGAACTATTTTGTTTTAAATATGTACTACTTTCCAATATGTTCTTTTCTGAATGAACCCGATTAGGTGGTATTACATCTTACAAAGTCTATCCAAATTATTTTTGCAAAGAATCCGCTCAAGCCGGTGCTAGGGGCCGTCTTAAATTTGCAGTGAGGTGAGAGTTTTTTTGCTCCGTGTTGAAGGCCTCACTGTGACTTTGAGATGAAGAACAGCAATAAAAGCGCTGTTCCTTTGCTTTTGTTTGTTTTTTTGCTGTGCATGAACTGTTTTTGTGGCATGGATGGATACCCCATATCCTTTGTTTTTCTATTAGAATGTCATCCTAGAAAATCTAATAAAGTTCTTGTTATTTTTTCATTGTTTTTTGAAAGAAAAATGGTGCCAATGTTAAATTTATGAAAAGTCTAGAGAGAAATAATTCCCGCCAAATTTTCAATAGCTTGTGTCTCGAAAACAAGCACACGGACCTTCATTTTATATGCTTTTTTAGTTACTTTACTTATATACTATCAATTAATAACAGTCTTTCAAGGAGCTTGTTATTTTGAAACAGAGTAGCGAACATCCTTAATGGCGATAATGTGTTTTACAATCTTTCATGTTTTCTTGCTAATGAAAATTTACGTCCCTCTTAAGCTGGAAATAATTACAGGGTCAATTCCATATTTGCAGAAGTACTTACTGCATATATTTCCTTTTTTATATAGCAGTTGTGGCTGACAAAAAATCTAACTGCAAATGTAAAGTAAAATGTGACCCAGGCGAAAAGAAAATAGATAAATGTTCTGGTGGTAAAATTTTGTGCTGCTGCACTGGTAGCTCCAAGTCTGGTTATGAAAAAAGAACTAGTCCTGCAAGTTCAGGCAGTGGTGGATCAAGCTCTGGAGGTGTATCAGGTTGGAATCAATATGGGCTTGTTTCGACCGGTGGAATGTCCAGAGGTGGAAGTGGTGCAGGTGGAATGTCCGGAGGTGGGAGAGGTGCAGCTGGAATGTCAAGAGGCCATGGTAGTGGAGATAGCTACGGTTCTACAAGTTATGGAGGTGGAAGTTCCGGAGGCTATGGTGTTAGTGCTGGAGGTGGAACGACTGGAGGTGCTAGTGGTTCCGGTTCTGGAGGTGGAAGGACTGGAGGTGGAAGTGGTGCAGCTGGAATGTCAAGAGGTGGAAGTGGTGGAGTCGAAGAAAAAATTATTTACATAAACATTGGAACTTCCGGAGGCGGCTATGGAGGTGGAGATAGCTACGGTTCTGCCAGTTATGGAGGTGCCGGTGCTGGGGGCGGTGGAGCTGGGGGTGGAATGTCTGGAGGTGCTGGAGGTGGAAGTTCAGGAAGTGGAATGTCTGGTGGTGGAAGTTCGGGAAGTGGAAGTGCTGGAAAAGGATATGGTCACGGTTCTACAAGTTATGGAGGTGGAGATAGCTATGGTTCTACACCTTATGGAGGTGCCGGTGCTGGAAGTGGTGGTAATGGTGGTGGAGGTTCTGGAGGTGGGGGTTCTGGAGGTGGAAGTTCGGGAAGTGGAAGTGGTGGCAAGGGATATGGTTCCGGTTCTACAAGTTATGGTGGTGGAGAAAGCTATGGTTCTACATCTTATGGAGGTGCCGGTGCTGGAAGTGGTGGTACTGGTGGTGGAGGTTCTAGAGGTGGAGGTTCGGGAGGTGGAAGTTCGGGAGGTGGAAGTTCGGGAAGTGGAAGTGCTGGAAAAGGATATGGTCACGGTTCTACAAGTTATGGTGGTGGAGATAGCTATGGTTCTACACCTTATGGAGGTGCCGGTGCTGGAAGTGGGGGTACTGGTGGTGGAGGTTCTGGATCTGGAATGAATGGAGGTGGAAGTTCGGGAAGTGGAAGTGCTGGAAAAGGATATGGCTACGGTTCCACAAGTTATGGAGGTGGAGAAAGCTATGGTTCTACACCTTATGGAGGTGCCGGTGCTGGGGGCGGTGGTACTGGTGGTGGAGGTTCTGGAGGTGGGGGTTCTGGAGGTGGAAGTTCGGGAAGTGGAAGTGGTGGCAAAGGATATGGTTCCGGTTCCACAAGTTATGGTGGTGGAGATAGCTATGGTTCTACATCTTATGGAGGTGCCGGTGCTGGAGGTGGTGGTACTGGTGGTGGAGGTTCTAGAGGTGGAGGTTCGGGAGGAGGAAGTTCGGGAAGTGGAAGTGCTGGCAAGGGATATGGTTCCGGTTCTACTAGTTATGGTGGTGGAGATAGCTATGGTTCTACATCTTATGGAGGTGCCGGTGCAGGAAGTGGTAGTACTGGTGGTGGAAGTTCTAGAGGTGGAGGTTCGGGAGGTGGAAGTTCGGGAAGTGGAAGTGCTGGCAAGGGATATGGTTCCGGTTCTACAAGTTATGGTGGTGAAGATAGCTATGGTTCTACATCTTATGGAGGTGCTGGTGCTGGAAGTGGCGGTACTGGTGGTGGAGGTTCTGGATCTGGAATGACTGGAGGTGGAAGTTCTGGAAGTGGAAGTGCTGGCAAAGGATATGGTTACGGTTCTACTAGTTATGGAGGTGGAAAATCTGGAGGTGGAATGTCTGGAGGTGGAATGTCTGGTGGTGGAGGTTCTGGAGGTGGAATGTCTGGAGGTGGAAGTTCTAGAGGTGGAGGTTCGGGAGGTGGAAGTTCGGGAAGTGGAAGTGCTGGCAAGGGATATGGTTCCGGTTCTACAAGTTACGGTGGTGGAGATAGCTATGGTTCTACATCTTATGGAGGTGCTGGTGCTGGAAGTGGCGGTACTGGTGGTGGAAGTTCTGGATCTGGAATGACTGGAGGTGGAAGTTCTGGAAGTGGAAGTGCTGGCAAAGGACTTGGTTACGGTTCTACAAGTTATGGAGGTGGAAAATCTGGAGGTGGAATGTCTGGTGGTGGAGGTTCTGGAGGTGGAATGTCTGGAGGTGGAAGTTCTAGAGGTGGAGGTTCGGGAGGTGGAAGTTCGGGAAGTGGAAGTGCTGGCAAGGGATATGGTTCCGGTTCTACAAGTTATGGTGGTGGAGATAGCTATGGTTCTACATCTTATGGAGGTGCTGGTGCTGGAAGTGGCGGTACTGGTGGTGGAGGTTCTGGATCTGGAATGACTGGAGGTGGAAGTTCTGGAAGTGGAAGTGCTGGCAAAGGATATGGTTACGGTTCTACAAGTTATGGAGGTGGAAAATCTGGAGGTGGAATGTCTGGAGGTGGAATGTCTGGTGGTGGAGGTTCTGGAGGTGGGGGTTCTGGAGGTGGAAGTTCGGGAAGTGGAAGTGGTGGCAAAGGATATGGTTCCGGTTCCACAAGTTATGGTGGTGGAGATAGCTATGGTTCTACATCTTATGGAGGTGCCGGTGCTGGAGGTGGTGGTACTGGTGGTGGAGGTTCTAGAGGTGGAGGTTCGGGAGGAGGAAGTTCGGGAAGTGGAAGTGCTGGCAAGGGATATGGTTCCGGTTCTACTAGTTATGGTGGTGGAGATAGCTATGGTTCTACATCTTATGGAGGTGCCGGTGCAGGAAGTGGTAGTACTGGTGGTGGAAGTTCTAGAGGTGGAGGTTCGGGAGGTGGAAGTTCGGGAAGTGGAAGTGCTGGCAAGGGATATGGTTCCGGTTCTACAAGTTATGGTGGTGAAGATAGCTATGGTTCTACATCTTATGGAGGTGCTGGTGCTGGAAGTGGCGGTACTGGTGGTGGAGGTTCTGGATCTGGAATGACTGGAGGTGGAAGTTCTGGAAGTGGAAGTGCTGGCAAAGGATATGGTTACGGTTCTACTAGTTATGGAGGTGGAAAATCTGGAGGTGGAATGTCTGGAGGTGGAATGTCTGGTGGTGGAGGTTCTGGAGGTGGAATGTCTGGAGGTGGAAGTTCTAGAGGTGGAGGTTCGGGAGGTGGAAGTTCGGGAAGTGGAAGTGCTGGCAAGGGATATGGTTCCGGTTCTACAAGTTACGGTGGTGGAGATAGCTATGGTTCTACATCTTATGGAGGTGCTGGTGCTGGAAGTGGCGGTACTGGTGGTGGAAGTTCTGGATCTGGAATGACTGGAGGTGGAAGTTCTGGAAGTGGAAGTGCTGGCAAAGGACTTGGTTACGGTTCTACAAGTTATGGAGGTGGAAAATCTGGAGGTGGAATGTCTGGTGGTGGAGGTTCTGGAGGTGGAATGTCTGGAGGTGGAAGTTCTAGAGGTGGAGGTTCGGGAGGTGGAAGTTCGGGAAGTGGAAGTGCTGGCAAGGGATATGGTTCCGGTTCTACAAGTTATGGTGGTGGAGATAGCTATGGTTCTACATCTTATGGAGGTGCTGGTGCTAGAAGTGGCGGTACTGGTGGTGGAGGTTCTGGATCTGGAATGACTGGAGGTGGAAGTTCTGGAAGTGGAAGTGCTGGCAAAGGATATGGTTACGGTTCTACAAGTTATGGAGGTGGAAAATCTGGAGGTGGAATGTCTGGAGGTGGAATGTCTGGTGGTGGAGGTTCTGGAGGTGGAATGTCTGGAGGTGGAAGTTCTGGAGGAGGAAGTACAGGAGGTGGAAGGGCTAGAATTACATTTATAGTGGATACCAGTGGGGGACGTGGGGGGTCAGGTAATGGTGGTCAGGGTGACTGCACATGCAGGATAACATGTCAGCCAGGAGAAATGAAAAAATCCACGTGCAATTATTATAAGAAACCAGTACTTTGCTGCAAGAAAAAATCGAAGAAAGGATATGGATACTGAAGTTGAATACTGTATATGAAGAACATAGAATAAATTTTTATCTTATCTAATCGATCTTGATTTTCTATCGAAAGGCGTTTGTCGTATTACTGTATACTTGTCCTTTATGTAGATCTTTCTTTCAAATATGAATATACAATCATGTACCTTGTCGGAAAATATAAATTTATTTGAACGAGCTTCAGAAACAAGAAGAAAAGTCAGGCTGTGAAATGTTAAGACTGGTTCCCTGTCATATATCTTTTTGGCTCGGGTGATTCAGATATCAGTATGTTGCAAGGATGAGAACCAGCCTATAACAAGTTGTCAAGATTCGTTGCAAGTTTGCCGTTTCAGAATTTGAAGGACTATCGGTTATATCATTGTTCGTGGAGTTTTTGTCTCGTTTACGTCTAAAAAAAACTTTCTTTATTCATATTCATCCATATACTGTGGATTCGTTTATTTTCGTGAGTACCAATTTTCGTGAATTAAGGAACAATTGTATTTTCGTGGATATTTGATCTCGTGGTTTTCCAAAAGTCTGCATACAAGGCTACAGAAAATTTGTTCTTCTTGAACATTTTGATTCGAGGTTCGTCTGAACACACGAAATCAACGAAAATTGGTATCCCAAGAATAATAACGAATCTACAGTAGTATTTAAGTGTCCGTCCGACCGTAAATGAAAGTCGTGTATATAGTTTGTACTTATGAGCCATGTATTGTCAGTGCACACGTACCATTGTGATATTGAACATTATTGATATTTGCATAAATTTTTGAGATTTAAACAAATTTTATATTAGTGATTAAAGAAATTTAGTCAAGACATTCGTTTTACGTAGTTAAGTAAAATAGGAAATGAAATCCCTTTCTTGGTTAAATGCGTCAAAAATTCATAGTAGGAATTTAAAAGTACAAGTTCTGCCACTAAAGATTGTATTAAATGGATTAAATTGATAATGACATCATCTTCACAAGAATCCATTAACACAAAAAGCATGTTAAAACAATTATAGATTCAACATAAATATGAATACCACCATAACAACCCGTTGATTATGATATTTATCTAATCAAATCATAAATTTTAAGCATTTGAAATGACGGAGATATTGCTGCGCTTTTTGAATTAGAATATCAAGATATGGGTACATATGTTATGCGGGAAAGAGGGGGGGGGGGGGGGCAGGACAGACTAAGGCAGTTGCCTCCCCTCTCCCGCTGAAAGTTAAAGTTGTCGCTCTGCGGTTTACATATCTGTGTTCACTATTTTAACTACGACAATTTAGTGGACTGTCGTTCGCGTTCATTCGAGGCCTCCTGGTGAATAAAACAAAGATGTCTATATATGTTTATTTCGAATCCAACCATTTGAGTAATGTTTGCTACCTTGGGGTTTCCTATTTTAAACCCTAAGAACACGTGCTGGTTGGACATGTTTTATTCACCAATCAAAATGCTTTTTAGAATAATAAATTTTATAAGAACAGTTTCTATTGGTTAAATCTCTTTTAGCAAATTCACATTTTTACATAATTTGGGGTTACTATTTTCGATTACTAAATACCTTGTTTTTACAACCATTAGGGAAATCCGATTATTTGGTTAGATAGAATTTTAGGTGAACACTAGAAAAGAATTATATATATTAGCTAAGGGAAATACTTCTAAGAGTTTAAGCTGTCAAACCTTATTTATATTCTCAGTGTCAAATAGGAAGAATTTCACATCACATACTTATATATTAAAAGTTACATACCATTATAGACTTTCTTATTATATTTTTTTTTATACAAAAACATTTAATTAAGAATTAGTTATTTTATACAATTACATGGAAGATTCACTTAATTTTATATGAAATATCAAAATTTATTTCCTTAAAATATTTTACCTCAATTTACCATCATTATACATATTACAATTAACTGTGTAAAGTGGTAGAATATGCTCTCTAAATTTTATAGACTGGTTCCCTATCCTTTATCTGTTTGGCTATGATACCCGTATGTTGCAAGGGAGAGCACTAGCATATACATTTCAATGAATAAATAAAAAAATGATATTCCGAATTAACCAGGAATGAAGTCACACATGACAAAAAGAAAGAAATTAGTCAGAATAGGCACGAGGAATTGGCTGAATTTTCGAGCGAGGCTTTTGAAACTTAAATGTCCACCCTGGATAATTGCCGTATCGCACAAGATATGGTGGTAAAGTCTATCTACAGTCTGCTTTAAATCCTACATCTCACTCGCTATCGTTTATTTATATGTCGTGCTTGACATGTCATAAAACGGTTTTTAACCAGGCTGAGCCTATGTTTGTGCAACAACCCCTTTATAATATAGTATTTATATGCCGTCTGCTTGCGTGCAAATATCATTTTACTTGGAACCTCTTTAGTGTGTACCAAAGTTTGCCTATCATTGCTTACATCCACTAAATTTGAACTTTGGTGGATAGTTGTCTCTTCGGCAATCATACCACATCTCCTTATTTTTATATTTAAGGTGAAAGCATCGATTGCAAACTTTTTAACTCACCGGAAATGCCATACCTTTTAGGTGTATTTATTAAGGAAGACCATTAAAAATATCGGCAAATATTGCATTTTATTTTTAAAATTTATCTAGTTGAATGAAAAAAATCTTTTCTTTAACAGTGAAATGTAGAATGGTCTTTACGTGCAAGTCTTTGTAAGAATCAGGCAATTTAGAAGAATTTCAAAACATTGCCTAAAACAAACGGTAAACTAAGCATCCTATTTTGAAGTTATCCGCATCCTGAGTTAGAAATTGTACACCTTTCGTTTCCACGTGTCTGGTAATTGGAGAAATCTTTAGATAACTTTTGGTTAGAATGATAGCAAATTACAGAGTTAGCTCCCCTTAATTGTTAATTTCTAGTGCATTTCACCCTAGTTATATCTTGAAATACCAAAATAGGAAAAGGAAACGAATGCTTTATTCGTACATGATGATACATTTTGACCTTTGATTAATGTAAACTTGAGCGGGTTTCCGTTTGTCATGTCTTCACCACTGTCTAATTATTAGGTAGATTTGCACTTTATCAAAATTTCTTTATCAAAATCTTTTCTTTAACAGTGAAATGTAGAATGGTCTTTAAGTGCAAGTCTTTGTAGGAATTAGGCAATTTAGAATTTATAGTAAAAAATTCTATTTCACTGATAACTTTTTAAAAAGTGATTGAAATAAATCAACAATATTTTGAAACGATATTTATGGAGACATAAACGTCAAATTATGTAGAATTGAAGATGATTTGAATTTACAGTTTTGACTTCTAAAAAACATTTCAAACCGAAAAACAAAAATGAAAAATGTGGCCAAATTTGTGAAAACTTGAATCGCGTGTATCTTTGTAAGGGGAATCATGGCTTTGATATTCAGTTTCTTCATCAATTTTTTTATATGCCCTATTTAAATCTAATTAATCTGAGACTTTTGATTTTGATTTGTTTATTATGAAATTCCCATTGTGAATTCCGATACAATTTGAGGTAATTTTAAAAACCCCGAGAATCGATTCTTCTCAAAATTTAGAGTGCCAGGATGGGATTTCGTAAATATGTCTCGAAAAAGTGACAACAGCTATGTTTTTGCCGTTCAAACATTAGACGGGAAACAAAAGTAGGACTTGAAAATAAAAACAACAGTTTGTCAATTACCAGTATTTTTTTCTATGTTTGCAATAGCTTAAAAAGAATTCATGGCTCACCAAACAAACAAAACTTTAATGAAGGTCTGGATGGGGTTTACAGAATCAAAAAGTGCAGAATAAAGAGCAAAAATAAATAACAGAGAAATAATGGTTTAAAAAGCTAAAGAATTATAAAGAATAAAAAATAAATGAAGAAAAAAATAAAGATTGGAGAAAAATGGTAAAAAAAAAATAAAAGAATAAAGAAATAAGGGACCCCCCTACAGACTCTCTTAAATGATATTTTTTGCATTCACAAAATGTTTTTTTTTTAACATTTTGAATAATCAAAATGGAAATAAACTGGTCTTCCCTCTTGAAAATAAATCTCTACGACATTCAGTCGTGTTAACATTTCCTGACAAATGGATTAAATGAAAAACTGTGTCAGATTGCTCATTATAACTCTGATAACAGACTTTTGCGTTATATCACAATGTTTACAAAGCAATTTATCGCATTCTGACTTTAAATATGTGTAGGCAACATTATTTACTTAGAAACGCAGATTGATCACACAGTTATTGTAAGTGCAATAGTGCCGTAGAAAAAAATCAGTTTAAACCAAACGAAAAAGTCAGGAATTAAGGAATTGACGATTAATAACTTCTACAAGAACTTTTTGTGACCTCTTTAAAATTTTCAATCAGATTTCCACCATAAAAAGGCAATGTCTCGTCTTGTTTTATAGTAACCATGGTAACGTAGTCAAATTGCTAATTTCTACAGCTGAAAAGGAGACGGAAGATACCAAAAGAACCAAACTTCATAACTCGAAAAGAGACCGAAAAATAATGTAAATAAACGAATAAACAACGAACAAACAAACAAGTCTTCAAAACACTACATAAACAACTAAACACTGAGAAACACGATCCCAATCAAAACACCGGGGTGTTATCATGTTTTCCGGAAGGGGGAGCAAATTCTGCGTCACAATTTTAGATAACTCTTTGACCTTATTTTTTATTTGAATTAAAGTGTTGAGTTCAAAAAACATGTTGATATACCTGTCTCAATACCGGAACATTTTCACTGGTTGTCTAGACCAAGTACGGCATAGAGCTTGGTATATGGAATAGCCACCTTTATTGTAGACTTACTAGTTTTTTTCATTCTTTTTAAAAAAATTTGTGATTAAAATTACAAATATGTTTATCATGTTTTAATTTTGAAGAACAAAATCAGAACAAAATCAAAAGATCTTTCCGCCAAAAAATGAAAAGACCATAGTATCAAAATTTATTGAACTGGTCAGAACCGGTTAAAATACATACAGAATTATTAAAGAATTAGATGCTTTTTTTATAATTCTATTTGGGTGTAATAGCGTTGACCA